AGCAGTGTATCCCTGTCCTTTTTTCCCCTTCCATCTCTCCTTGACAGCAAAGCATGTCCAAATTTGTCCTCTAGCACATTATAAAGCGTATCATTCTTCTTTATCTCCTGCCTTTGAGAGCCTACAGTGCTGGGGAAGTGATGTGACGATGCCATATCTTTAGAGAGCTTAGAAAATAATTCTGTGGGCTGCCAATCCCACGGGGGCACTCCTCTTTTGGGGACAGAGCTGCAGCACTGCTGGCTGCCAGCTCTTCACACGAGTCACAGGGGCGCTTTGTTCTCCTGTCGCTACCTACGGATTTGGAGCAGCTGTGAAAACCATCTTCCCTCTCCTGGTGTGCATAAATTCACCTGCCCTTTTCTTTTCCTCCTTGCAAGGCTCAGGCACTGTCTTCCATCCTCTCCAGCCAAGAGGGGAAAAACATCCAGGCCTGGCCTAAGCACCCAGGTGACACAATGGAGGGAGACTCCAAGCATCTTTCCACCATGCATTTCCCTGGCAGCTGCATAGCACCATCTTTTAAAACTGCTTTTCAAACCAAGCATCAGACTGATTTCTTCACCCCCATTAAGAAGAACAGGCACACATGCCACAGTGAAACCCAGCCAAGGACATTTACACAGGCCCCAGTATCCTGAGCTTGCAGTCCTTTATCCAGAGCCTAGAACTGGGAAGGACCTTCCACCTTCTCCCATGGATTGCACACTACAGACCTTGCACTATGAGGTATCACCTTCTTTAGGCAAGTGCAAACAACTCTTGCAGGCCAAGAGATGAGCCAAGATATCCTATCTGGCCCCAGCACTTGGAGGGGGCAGAAAAATCCACTTGGTAATCCAAAAGCCAATAGAGGATGAGGGATGAAAAGGACAGTGGGCTAAGGAGCAGTAACCCACTGGATGAGCTTTTGGGTTGGAGGCTTCACAAATTTAAAAATAATTTATTTTAGAAAAGTAAATTCTTCCCTCCCTCATATTCCCAATGCTTCAGTGTTCACTGAATGATAGCCTTCGGTTTTGCTTCTTCCAAACCTGGAGCAATCTGCCGGGTGATTTTAAATTTAACCTCACAAGGTTCACCCACCTTCCCCACATCCTGCTGCTTTGGGCTTAGTTCCCTACAGCTTACCAGGAGATTTTAATCTTAGAACAGTTCAGGTTGGAAGAGATCTCAAAGCCCATACAGCTTCACCTCCTGCCATGGGGCAGCCTTTCACTATGGCTCCAAGCCCCAAAGTCCAACCTGGCCTTGGACACTTCCAGGGATCCAGGGGCAGCCACAGCTTCTCTGGGCATCCTGTGCCAGGGCCTGCCCACCCTCCCAGGGAACAATTCCTTCCCATTGCCCCTTGTCCTGCCACTCTGGTTCCTGATAAAATCTCTCTTAAATTTTCTTGTAGCGCCTTCAGCCCTGGAAGGAGCAGTGAGGTCTCCACAGAACCTTCCATTCTCCAGGCTGAGCAGCCCCAGCTCTCCCAGCCTGGCTCCAAAGGGAGAGGTGCTCCAGTCCCCTCAGCAACTCCATGGCCTCCTCTGGACTCTCTCCAGCAGCTCCAGGTCCCTCCTGTGCTGGGCCCCAGGGATGGGGCAGCTCTGCAGGTGGGGTCTCACCTGAGCACAGGGACAGAATGCCCCCTCCCCTGCTGCCCAAAGTGTATTTCCCAAACCCAACCACAGAAATCCACAGATGGCCAAAATAGGTCAATCCCATTTTGCTCTACAGCCCCAAACCTGTTGCTTTTGCATCCTCTGTGTAGCCCCAGCACAGCACAAATTCAGGGATTACTGAAGCAGAGAGTGCAGAATTAGGCTTCAGTTCTGCCAACTCAGTTCCTCCCCAGCACGTGCCATGGAGCACTTTTCCTCCATTATTAACCAGTGTTTGCCCAACTTCCAATAAATTTTCCCCTGCTCCCGTATTTCTGACCAGCGTGTGATTGCCTCTGCCAACGTGCCCTGACACAGGAGATTTTTGCTGCAATCCCCTTGCAAAACCCTTCTCTGATCCCAAAAAGCCCAGCCAGGGTCAGGGTTTGCAGCATCGGCTGCACAAGGGCCACGTCGCTGAGTGTTGCCAAACCCCGGGTGACTCCTGGGGAAGAGATTTCCCAGGAGCTCCTCAGTGACCACCGTGGGATCTCTGGCAGTGTTTCCCAACTCCAGACCCAGCAGGACATCGAGCAAAGGCTCCTTGGATGAGAAACTTGGTTGGGTCTGGCCACAGATTAGCACGTTGTGTTGTTTAACATTAACCAGCCCTGCTGCCCCCCGCCGGCCTCTGCTTTCCTCCAAAAGTCACTTTTCCTTCCCAGGAATTTCTCCAAAGTATAAATTCCAGAGGAAAGGGAGGGGAGGAAAACCACACCACACGTACAACACGCTGTGTTTGAGGGAGCGGGAAGAGGCCTGGTGCAACCAAAAAGAGGATTACAGGAAGCCTTGGGACAGCCAAAATGCAAAGCTCAGCCAAAGAATCCAAACACAGACAAGGTCAAAGTGGGAAAAAAAAAAAAAAAAAAATTTTTTTTTTTCCTTTGCATAATATTCTGCAATGTAAGAACACGCAGGGAAAGAACTGTGTTTGGCTGCTTTCACAAACCACTTCCCATATTAATTAAAGCATTCAGGAAATTACGAAAACGAACATAAATCTGTCTTCAAGGAGGATTATTTTGTTACACATGTGAGAGTGTGATCCCAGCCACGGCCTGTCTGTCTGCAAACAGGGGGAAAAGGAGGGGGAGAGGAGGAATACGACGAAAACAGAAGGAACAGGAAGAGGAGAGAAGGAATGGGAGGAGGAACAAGAGAAGGAAAGGAGGAAGGATGAGGAGGAGAGGATAAATAAGAGGAAGAGATGAAGAGGAGAAGGAATAGGAGGAGAGAAGGAATACGAGGGGGAATGCAGGAACGGGGAGGAAAGGAAAAGGAGAGGGAGGGGAGGAATGGGAGGAGGAGAGGAACAGAAATAAGAGGAGGAGAAAAACAGGAAGAGGAGAGGAACGGGAGGAGGAAAGGAACAGGAGGAGAGGGACAGAAACAGGAGGGAAGGAATAGGAGAGGGAAAAGAAGAGCAGGAATAGAAATGGAGGAATAAAAGTGGGAAAGGAGGACTATAAGAAGGAGATGAAGAGGAGGTAGACGAGGAATAGGAGGAGTGTAATAGGAAAAGGAGAAAAGGAATACGAGGAATAGGAAAAGAGGAACAAGAGGAGGAGAAGGGCTTTTCGCAGCCCCCCGAGAACTTCTCACTGGCCTTGACAAGCTCCTTCCCTCCCCTCAGCGCTGCTCCACCAGCAGCGGGTGTTGTGCCCGCGGCTCAGGGGTCCCACAGCAGCGCGGAGCCGCTCCCCCGTCCCTTCCCGGGCCCCTCCTCACTGGGAGTCCCCGCTGAAGATAGAAGCCGTGAGCAGACGGCACCGATCGCAGCCCATCGGTACCCGGTCCCAGGCGGTACCGCAGCCCGAGCACCCGGGACACCCCCGGGACCCCCGAGGAACTCGCTTTCCCGGCGCGCCCCGCGCGCACTGCGCAGGCGCGGTGAGGGTGAGAGGTCAGGCCCGGCGGCGTCCGCGCAGGCCGCGCTCCCCCGGGCCCCCCGCCGCGCCCCCGGCTCGGTGCTCACCGCGGACCCGCTGCGAGGGGTACAGGCGCTGCGCCTTCTCCAGGAAGCGGCGGGCCTTGTCGGGCTGGTTGGCCTTGGCGGCGGCCAGCGCGATACCAATGCACCGCTCCGCCTCGTCCCGGTTCGACTCCATGGCGGCGGTGGCCGGGCGGGGGGGCGGAGAGGCGGGGCCGGGCGCAGAGTGATGACGTCACAGGACACTGCCCTCAGGCGGGCGGGGCCGATGGAGGATTTTTGGGGAGCAGGGAAGGCGCAGGGAGGGAGCAGATTTTGGGGGGAGAGACGCCAAAGGGCAGCTGCGGACCCTGCTCTCGGAGGGGGTTGGGAAGGATTAACCCCTTCAGGAATTCTCTCTCCTCCTTATCGAGTTTCCTGCCTTTGGAACAGGTCCTGGCTGCGGGGACTCTGCCCTGAAGGAGACGCTAAAGAGGGATGAGGCTGCTCGGGGCTGTTTCACATTCAGTCGCACCAGGGATGGCGGGAAGAACCTTCATCCAAACGAGAGAATTCAGGTGACACATCCCTGGAGGCTGGCCGTGGGGAGCAGGCAGGAGAGAGGGAAGAACGGCTGCCGCCAGGAAGGGTCAAACCTGCACTCCCACCTTGGTCTGTGGGGTGTGACGTGTGTGACCCACACCCAAACCATCCCAAAGGAGCTGTGCCTGGGCAATGAGGGAGGAGAGGAAGATGACTCTAGCTGGAGTAATCAGGATCAATATTCCTGTATGAACCACGGAATCCTACAATGGTTTGGGTGGGAAGGGACCTTAAAGCCCATCCAGTCCCACCCTTGACATGGGCAGGGACACCTTCCACTATCCCAGGCTGCTCCAAGCCCTGTCCAGCCTGGCCTTAGACACTTGCAGGCATCCAGGGGCAGCCACAGCTGCTCTGGGCACCCTGTGCCAGGGCCCTCCCACCCTCCTAGGGAACAATTCCTGCCCAATATCCCATCTATCCCTGCCCTCTGGCAGTTTGAAACCATTTCCCCTTTTGTCCTGGCACTCGAAGCCCTTGTCAATATTCCCTCCCCATGTTTCTTGTCACCTCCTCAGGCACTGGAAGGCCACAATTAGGTCACCCTGGAGTTTCTCTCCAGGCTGAACAATCCCAATTCTCCCACCCTTTCCTCACAGCAGGACTGCTCCGTCCCCCTGCTCATCTTTGTGGCTTCCTCTGGGCTCTCCCCAGCAGTTCCATGTCCTTCTGTGCAGGAAGGAAAGTATTCCAGGAGTGATTTATCCCCTTTGTCTTTCCAGCTCTGTAAAGTCATGGAGTTTTCCCTGCCCCCCCACTTCCAAAACACCCCATCTTCAGTGCCTCAGCCCCAGCCTTGGGGGAGGATCTGGAGCAATGGAGAGACAGAGCCAGGCTGCTGTGAGCAACATCTTTACATGATATTTTACAGAGGACAGCACCCAGCACACAACGCCTGTCAGCCCCTTCCCGGTACAATTCCCCACGGAGAGGGCTCTCCATGTGGGAAGTCAATTAGGGAGCTCCTGCAGCAGGATGCTGGTGCAAGGCAGGAATTGCAGGAGAGCCAGTTGCTCCAGTACTTTTAGCTGCCCTCCTGCAGCAGGTGCAGCATGGAGCTTTTGACTGGCTGAAATCTTGGTTCTGGGATCCAGGAAATGCAGGAATTGCCCGGCTTTTCCGAGGAGCAGTCTGAGAATCAAAATAACCCCCATGCCATTTTTTCATAGCATTAAATAAAGGTGATTTGGGGTCCAGCTCTGGAGCAGGGCACATCACACTGCAGAGGTGGTGGCAGTAAAAGTCCTTCCCTTATTCCTGAGAGAGAGGAATATTAAGGAGAGCCAGCAGCAAGCAAATACAACAGGCGTGGATTTCTAACTTGGATTGACAAAACCCTCCTGTTACAGACAGCCTGGGCTCTCCAGAGCCTGCTGCCACCCTGCTGTGCCCATGGGCTGTGCCAGGGGATGGGGGTGCTCCTTCCCAACCCCTCTACTGCTGCTTGGGAGCTGTGAAGTCCCACGCTGTCTCCTGGGCACACTTCCACATGGCCCTCATGAGCCGTGTGAAGCCCATGTCCTTGGGCTTCTCTAGGCCTCGCATCAGGCGCTGCTTCATGATGGCAACAAACTCCTTGTTGCTCAGCTCACCATTCCCTGCAAAAAGGAGGAGAAATAATCAGAGACCCACCACCAACCTCCTTGAAATGATAACTTTAAAGGGCAGCAGCCATGAGTGTCCTTTCCTGCAGAAACTGAGACCACGTTTGGCTCCCACCTCCTAAAATATCCTGCTCAGCAAGGGTTCCCAAGCCACAGATTGTAAATCCCAACCCTATGGATGCTTGCAGGAGGCAGAAAAGCAAAATGCAAACCAAATGTCCATGTCCTTCCAGGAAACAACACTAAGTGGTTTAGGAAATTATGGGTGCAGAATTTTTTCTAATGAAGTAGAAGGGAAGATTTGTTGATCTGATGAATGAGGTTATGGAGAATGCAGCCACTGAGTGGCATAATTCCAGCAAACTATCAAGGGGTGAGCAAAATTCCCTCCAGTGCTGCAGGTTTTTAATGTCTGTAAACACTGATGGAATGAAAACAACAAAATAATAATAATAATAATAATAATAATAATAATAATGAAAAGAGGTCTGTGCTGTCTTTTCTACTTAGTTTCTTCCTTGGGGGACTCCTCGGGCAACCACAGTCTTTCCCCCTGAGGATTTGCTATCAAAATATTTAGGAGATTCTCCTCTGAGAGAAGGCAAACAGTGAATATTTGGATACACTTCAGCTCACTTGAATCTCCAGCTGATCATCTGGTGTGACGTTTGTATCAGAACAGTGGTACTGAAGCACAGAGGAAAATAAAACAGGAGGTGGGACCTTAGAAAGGTGCAAAGGAGTGGGTGGGGCTGAAACCAAGAGGGACAACAAAGAATAAAATAATTAAACACACTTTTTAATGTTCATACTTATGCACCAGTGCTGCCACTCAGAGCTGCCAGATGCTGGTGACTGTGCTGGAGAAGCAACGTGCCAGCCAGGAGTCTGATTTTGGCTTGGCTGTTTTGGGCAAATGCAGAATTTCCTTCTTTCCAAGTTGGAATTGCTGTCACCTGGCAAAGACTCCAGTAATTCCCGTTAAATCAAGCCAGGAGTGCTTCAGTGTGACAACAATCACCCCAGGGCACTCACACCCTCTGCAAAGGCACCAGCTTCCCAGCAGGGCACTGAGCTGCTATTAATTCATTAAAAATTAAGCTGACATTTGTCTAGGACTTTGGAGATAAAGCCCCAGACCGGCTCCTTTCCAACACTGCAGCACAGCAGTTCATTTTGTTAAACAAACTGCAGTTGTGTGGGGGTAAAAAAGGAGCAAAGTGTGCACATCAAACCCTCCCGTCCATGCTCCAAGACCCACATCTCACAGGGTGGCTACCATTGGATACCCTTCCCACAAAGGCAGGGGGATCACCACAGATCCATAGACAAAGAGCATGGCAAGAAAAGCCCTTTTCCTGCCCTGGATTTCCTGCCCTGGATTTCTTAGGGGCGACCTACTCTCCTGGCCTGGCTGAGGTCGGGGTGGTCGCTCACCGTCGCAGTCGAAGAGCGCGAACACCACGTCGCACACGTGGTCCGAGAGCTCCACCTTGGCCACTGTCCTGGCCACCTGCTGCATGGTCACTGCAACACAGGGAGGGCACAGGGTCACACAGGGGGCAGGATGTGCCAGCCACAGCAGAAGACTCCTGCTCCTCTGCAGAAAACGGCATTTGTGTCTTCAGAGAGGCTGGGAATAAGCTTGATCGACGAGGCAGCTCCTTCTGACAGCATTCCAAGGACGATATTCTATCAAACAACAATCCCAGCAGGCTGGGAATTCCAAAAACTGCTTTTCCTGTTGCAACCCAGTAATTGCAGAACGAACCCACCCCCCCTCCCACGAGGAGAAGAACAGATTAACCTTGCAAAAAATTAAAGAGTTGTAAGGAAGTATTTCCCTTTTCTCCCCAGACTGGCAGCAGAGAAGCAAGCAGGAGTTTTATTCCCACCTTTAGAAAAGGGCAATCCATGGAGCTATCAATCTGGAAGGGTTAGGCAGTTGATTTTGCTGCACAAATGGAAAAAACAAAGCCCCCTGGCTAGGCTGGTGTGAGTGTATTTAAAGTTAAATTGCTTCCCTAGAAAGCCTGACCTAAGGAAACGCTACTCACAGCAACTGGGATCAATGTTTAGCTTTAGAGGAAGGGCAGAGAGGGAAGTGGTGCACCACAAAACCAGACTGAAACCAAAAACAGCTTCTGCTTTCCTCCACAGCATCTTTATGGGTTTCTGCACGCCCAGTCCTTCAGTAATTTTGGAGAGTTAAGTGTGTCAGAAAGGAAAAATTAATCATCCAATGTATACTGTAACTGGATTAATTACAAACTGCATAAAATATTTCTAATAGGATTTTTTTTTTCATGGATGTTTACACTAATGATACCTTCCACCCCATTTCTGCTCCCCTGAGTGAAATCTGGGGTTTTCTGAGAGGAATTCACAGCCACCTTCAGGTCCTTTTCCCCATAAAACCTCTCCTTTTACTAAATAATGCAGGAGAAAATTGAAATGACACAATGTACATAATGTAAAATACATAAAATCTCAAGTAGGACCCTGCTTTTCCCACATAATTATTCTTTTTGAGTGAAATTCCTTTTCTCCATGAGTGATGCAGCTCCAGTCAGCAGTTATTACTCTGTACTTCCTCAGACAGCAACACCAAATTTCATTTCATTTGTTGCAAATGTAAAACTTCTCTCCAGGTGCTTCACCTTGATGCCATCCCTCCCCTCCTGGTGCCTTAGGTACCCTATGGCTGTAGCCTTACATGTTAAAAAAAAGTTAGAATGATTTCCTACATCACAGAATTCCAGAATGGTTTGGGTTGGAAGGGGCATTAAGGATCACATCATTCCAACCCCTTGCCATGGGCAGGGACACCTTCCACTGTCCCAGGCTGCTCCAAGCCTCATCCAACCTGGCCTTGGACACTTGCAGGGATCCAGGGGCAGCCACAGCTTTTCTGGGCACCCTGTGCCAGGGCCTGCCCACCCTCACAGGGAACAATTTCTCCCTAACACCAAATCAAAATCTCCCCTTTCAGTTTGTAACCACTGCCCCTTGTCCCAGTTCCTTCAATTATTAAAGTCAGGTTTTTCTGCTGAGATTTCACCTGCTCCTTCCATCTCTGCAAGGAGTCTCCTGATCTCTCCCCTCCTGTTAATTTTATACTGCCACACTTTTCCCAGCTGGAACTTGTACTCATGGCCACCAGTTCCTGCTTCCTCTCTCATTAATCCAACTGCACAAGTGTCAGCTCCATCCCATCGTTCTTGCTTGATGCCAAAATGACTTCACATGACTGTGCTGTGTTTGGTTAGGGCTGTGCTGGTTTTTAAGGAATCAAAAGGAAGAGGGAAAGCATCTCTACTTTCCTCTTCCACACACATGATCCAGACCACGAGGTAGCTCAGCGAGGCAAATAAAATTTAAACCTGCTGGAGTTTCTTTACCACTTCACAAAATGAAATAGGTGCTGTCTGGGGGGAACATCTCTTAAAACAAAGCCTGCCAAGGTTTGGGACACTGGAATAAAAATTCTCCTGGATTTCATACCATCAGAAATGAGTTCTACATTTCTGTCTTGAAAAGCTTCTAAAATTTCATGCATTGGTATGCCCCACTGATTCTTTTAATGAGCCATCTGAGTTATTTTATGCAAGTTTAGTGTCTGACACAGTTATCCTTTTTTTCCACTCTGATTCCCAGAACTGCACCGTGAGCAATGCCGCACCGAGCGTCTGCAAACGGGGCTTCGCTCCAGGCGAGAGCCTCGCCAGATGGCAAACTTCACTTTTTCCTTCCAACTTGAGATTAATCACACATGTGGCCAAAAGAATGGACAGCTGGGCTGCTGCCTTTGTTTTCCAAATGGCACTCGGGGTGATGGGAGCACAGCTCCCTGCCCTGGGCCATTCCAGGATGGAAAGGCAGGACACGTGTGTTTTAGTCTCCCAGGAATCAGTCTCACGTTGATGCACACATTTCATGTCAAGGATCCCAGTTGGAAATGTTGGATGCTATCACTGGCAGTATAGCTACCAAAATCCATTGAACTTTTTACAAATCATTTGCATGAGTACGTGCCGGAACACCCATCCAGGAAAGAGCTGGATAAGCCTTATGCAATCCTGTAGTTACAGCACATTTTCCTTTGTCTCCTCAAACCATGAGGCTGCAGCCCTGCAGCTGAGCAGAAGCCGTTTTGACATCAAAGGGAGCATAACAGAAAGTCACAGAGATCAGAGAAAAAAAAGCAGAGCTCCCAGACCAAAGGCAGAGCCAACCCCCTGTTTGTGCAGTATCTACAGCCAGAAATATGGAAAGAAAGGAGATTCCTTGGAGACATCCCAAACCTGACTGCAGGTGGCCCAGGGTGAGTGGCTGCAGGAGATCCTGTTGGATATGAGGGTCTCCAGAGACCCAAGTCCTCCGCTCCCAACTACCAGCACTGCCATTATTCCAGAGAAGCAATCTGAGCTGTGCTTCCAGGGGGGGCAACTTCTTCCATCCATCTCCAAGGCAAAGGAAAGCAAGCAGCAATTCCATGACTGCATTCCAGCTCACCTCTGCCTCCTTCCTAACTCCCTGTCGACTCTGCAGCTGTTTCAAGAAGCATCATTCAAAAAAAATGATTTTCCATTAACCTCTCTGGGGCTCCAGCCCAGCTCCAAGCCACAGATCAGCAGTGGGCTCAGCTGCCTCCCCGTGCTTTGGCCCAGCCATGCCTTGCCCTAAACCCCAAAGGAGTTATCCCGTGGCTCTCTGCCAGCAGAAGGGCTGCTTGGAAAACCTGGCTGCACACAGTGCCAGAAAAAGTGCAATTCACACCCTCCTAAAAGGGGAATAAGCACCAAATTCAGCTCCTGTCCTGCTTCCAGCTGTGAGCCCGGGCTGGGAAAGTCTTCTAAGGAATGCTAGTGATTTAGGAGAATGACAGCTATTATGTTGCTGGGAAAATGAAAGATGGACTAATAAATAATCTGGATGTTTTTAAATGGGTCATTAAAATACAGGTTTATGATCCTTTTTAGAAGAAGAAGTGACTTAAATTCAGCACAGAAAACAGGCTGTCAAGCTCTGGCTGTTTGGTACCAGCCATTTTTTTCCCCTCTGAAATTTTAAACAACCCTTCTAAAATCGTAATAATGTTTGCTGCTTTGTTAGCAGCAAATTATTACATATACTAACCTCTTCCAGTCCCCATCCCAGTGGAATTTTTACATTTGTTAGTTTGTACCCAGCAACCTTGTGAAAGCTTCACTTTTGGGAGGGCACACCCTATTTATGGTTTATTTTACTTAAATCTGATTCCTGCCCAAGGAAGGTTCCCTTGCCCCAGCTGAGGCAAACACTCCTAGCTCAGTGGCTGCAGCAGCTCATTAATGGCACGTAATTAAACTGCAATCACACTGATTTACCAACTGCACACAGACCTAAATTCTGCAAAAATGTGTATTCCACAACATGATAAATGCTAATTTCCTGTGGGCACTGAGTAAATTTGATTTGCTGGGCTACTACCTCCTCTGGGATGCTGCAGGAAGGGCTCAGAGCAGCAGCAGCAGCACACCCAGACTTGGTATTTTACTTTTAAATGAAAGAAAATCCTGTCAGGTTCTCTTAAGTCTTAAGGTAATGATGATCTAAACCAAAGAGTACAGATGATTTCCCCCAGAAAAATTTAAGATGAGAAGGGCTGCTGACACACACAAGCAGAGATGTGACACATTTGTTTCCCTCTGTAATTCCACTGCCCCAAAACCTATTAATGCCTTAATATTTCCCCACAACAGCAGCAGTTTGAATAGCTGACTTCCAAAATGTTTAATTCTGCAGCTGCCTAAATAAATCAGCTTTAACTTTGCAGCAGACAAGAGTTTCCACTTAGCCTAAAAATCTTTTAATGAGTTTGCCATCTTTTTTTTATATTCTCAGTCTGTTTAAAAAAATAAAATCCCCTCTTAAAAAAAACCTAAAGACAAAAGCACACACTTGTGAGAGATCCTGGCAGCAGAGTGGGACTTTTGGTTTGAAATATATTTTGGGGTTTTTTGAAAAAAAAAAATATATATTTTTTACATCAGTGTGTCAGATTAAGAACAGACCAGCTCAGAAAAGGAAACATGACGAGAAGGAGGAGGATATGGATTGGTCTGATCAATAAACCACATTATTACCAAGGTCCCCAGGAAACACCAGCTCTGAGCTTTATTCAGCCCACTCCTCTGGACTGTGGGTTATCTGAAACAGAGTCTTGGACAGACTTTAATGCTCAGTCTGGGGCTCAGTGGTGTTCCATTGCTCCCCCCTCTTTCCCTCCAGCACTCACTGAGGGGAGCTCTGAAGATGTTTGCCACTGCTTGGATTTCCAGGCAAAAATGCAGCATCCAGCCCTTATTTCTAGGCAAAGTCTATGATTTTTGAGCCAAGCTGAAACAAAATAAGGGTTATGCAGTTCCAACCCCACTGCTGGTGTGCCTCTGCCATGTAGATCAGAGACCCACAGAAGATAACTCTGCACGAATTTTTTTGCACTCATTTTTGAAGTCCTTTGTATAAGGAGACAAAAAAGGTCAATACAGAAGATGGGGATGAAGAAGAAACACCGGTGTCCCTGGGATCTGGAGCCTGTGGCACACTCCTTAGGTCACACAGCAGAATGGTCCTTCTGCAGGTACCACCATGAAATCACTGCTTCCTCATCCATTCAGGCTACACATGTCACCCTTTTTTTATCCCCGTATCTAAAACTGTGGAAGTATAAAACCTGGAATCCCTCTTTATCCATGGATGTAGCGAGCTAAGCACCTCATTACAGGGAGGAATTGCAATTTGGGTACATTTTTAACCTGTCAGCCTGGGCTTGTCTGATACCTTCCTAACTCTGAAGACACGGAATGAGCTGTGCTCCCTCAGGCTTTCAGCACCTGAACATCCCTCAGGTTTTAATACCTTTATCAAGAGAAGCTCCAGCCATGTGGTAGAAGCTCAAAGCCGTGTCCACGTCGTTTATGTTCTTCAGAAAAGTGAAGAAGTTCTCAACCTCCTCAAATGTCAGCCCCTAGGACAGAGAAAAGACACTCATGTGGTGATGGGAAAAGGAGATCACAGACACTGCCTGGAAATGACACAGTGACTCATTGGCCTGAAGCTGTAGCCAGAAGGGAATTCATCTGCACACTCCAAAAACTCAACCTTGGCACTTGAGGATGTGGGTTGTGACCTGTACTTCTGTTCCCCTCCTGCCTCCCTCCCAGTCCCACAATGGGAAGGGACTGAAAACCATCTCCCAGGTGAGCAGACACACCACAAGCCTGTAGTTGGGATGCAGGAGACCACTGCAAACAGGTGAACTGATAATTTTTTTTGAAGCCTGCACACTTGCAATGATAATATCAAACAGTCTGTGCACTGTAAGGTCCCTCCCAAGGGATTCAGGAATCCCTGGGGGCATCCATGTCTTACCCAGTGTGGCAGAAGGTGACACTAAAGCACAGAAGTGTCCCAGTCTGCTTTGCTGCTGGAGGCAGGATCCCTGTCTGCTCCACTTACCTGGGCCAGGTGAGCATGTGCTCGGTGAGAGCCAACAGCCATGCTCTGGGACAGGCATGGAAAAACATCCTGAGCTCCCCAGGAGAAGTGGTGCCGATGGGCACAGCTCTGGAAACCCCACCTGGTTACAGTACACCTGATTTTATCACCCTGTTCAGCTCCAGCACAACCACAGCAGTGCTGGGACAAGAGCTGGAGCCTCCAACTCCTCCAGTAGAGCCACGGCACGGAGCCAAGGGAGGAGGTGAATCATCACCACGGTAATAACCACTCAGACTCCCTCTCTGCGAGACATAAATCAGCTTGTCAGGAGTTCAGGTTCAGGCTCCTCCTATCCTGCCTGGCACAACAGATTGATTGAGCAAGATATTAAAAATCCTAACTGCATAATAGCACTGTTCCATGACCTGGATGTGTTCAGCAGGTACTGTCAAATATAAATTTTCACAATCTGCTGTAACTCCGCTCAAACAACTTCTAATCAGGGAAGAAGCCACCAATCCTTTGAAAGAAAATTTTTAAGGTCTTTCCATACAGACATTTGCAGCTTGTTCCTATCTTTGCTGTAAGTGAGTATGTGGCACTGCACTGATAATCTACGTGTGCACTGACACATGCAACAGCAGCTCTGTCAGCCCTGGATTCATGGATCTGGGCCAAAAAGGATGAGATGGCAAAATGGGAGAGCACACGTGGACAACAGAGCTGACTGAAGAGAGAAATCCCTGGTGACTCTGCAGGGAGCTTTCCTTGAATGTTTGCCTGCTCCTCTTCCTGAAAGGAACACTAGGATATACAGCAGAATTAAATTAAATATTGTCCTAGGAAAAAAAAATAATCCAATTAATCAGGTACTCCTGCAGGAAGCACTGCAAAGATCCCTCTGTTTTGTACAATGGTTCTACAATAGAAAATATCTTTGCAATTATCATGATGCCTCCCTGCCTGGGAGCAGGGCACTGAGAGTGTGGAAAAGCCTGGAGAACCATGAGGTGTGTGGCCATTTCCAGGCCAGCAGAAGACACTGTGCTGTCTTCTTCAGCAGAAGATGAATTGTCAGCATCTGCCTGCTCTGTGTGGGACATCTGAGGTTTGTAGTGCTCTAAGCAAAGAGCCACAGACCTCATATTTTCCTGGGATTCCCAAAATGGCAGATGCCCAAGCAGCACTGCTGTCTTTGCAAAATGGACCCTTGTTTGGAATGCTGGAATGGTTTGGGTGGGAAGGGACCTCAAAGCCCGTCTCATTCCACCCCTGCCATGGGCAGGGACACCTTCCACTACCCCAGATTGCTCCCAGCCCCATCCAACCTGCCCTTTGTGGTCCTTTCACCAGCTGAAAAAACAAACTCAGTGACACACGTGTATCCTACAAATTGTAGCTTTCATGTGGACAAAACCACTGAACGTCTGGAGCAAAATACCATCAGTGTTACGAAAATTAATATTTTTTTGAGGAACCCTATAGGTGAGGATGCCATCAGCATTAACTCTGCTCCAGCTACCAAAATAAAATAAAAATCAGAGACTGGGACAGCCTCAGGCAAGTCAACAGATGAATTATCACCTCTTTCAAGGCATTTGTAGCTCCAGCTGTTGATTCATAATCAGATGAATCCCTTCATCATCCAAGTAATCCTCACAAAACATAAGCAGGGAGACTCCAGAAGCACTTACCTGCTTGTAACACAACAGCTCCAATATCTCCTGCAAAAATTAGGGCTTTTCACTTGGGAACCCAGGTTCAGCCAGGAATTCCACCTTGCTGCCACCCCCTGCTATCTCCACAGAAAAATACCTCAGCCAGCCCCCAAAGCACATGTAGATGATGTGAATCACTGGTTTCTAAAGAGACTGCTTGGTTTTCTAGCAGTTAGGGGGGCAAAAAACAAGTAATACCTTGCTTGTGAGTATTGCTGATGACTCAGGCTCTTCTTACTAGGAGAAAATCATCTGTGTAAGTACAACTTGGGGAGGACACTCGTGTTAGACAAAACAGAATGTGGCAGCTCTGCTGAATAAGCAAAGTACACCTATATGCAGGGTAAGATTGGGTTTTTCCTCAAGAAAAATAAAAATAATGAAAGCAGACTGGCAGTTAATAGAAGCAAACTTATCACTCCCAAAAGCAGGAATGCAGAATAACAGTGCTGGAAAACAGCTAAAGATTAGATTAAACTCAGAGTTTTGTTGTTTTGGAGGCTGCCAGGGTTGCCTTGTGCACTCAAGGTAATTGCATAAGACAAGGAAGACAAGGTTTGGCAGATTCCATAAGAAAGCTCTCTCAAAATAACAGTACTTCCAGGGGAAGGACTTGCTGGGTGAGTTTGGGACAGTTTCTGGGCATTTTATCCTCACCAGTGTAAGGAATTGTGAATTTTTCACCAATTCTATTCCTTGCAAATGTAATTTTTTTTTGTCCTATTGCCCACTTCCTCTCCTTGAAAGTCCTTGGAAAAAAGAAAGATAAAGATTTGCTCTGAATCTGGCTGGCTGTAAATAGAAAGACAATCTGGTTGATTGGGGGATGAGGAGTAAGGTAAGAACACGAAGTTCCTCCTCTGGCACAGCTGTCAGGCTCTTGGCTTACACATAAAAGGAAGAAAACATCTGTTGTAGGAAACCTTCCAAAATAAATTCCTTTGCCTCTTTTCTCACACATCAAGCTACTGTTCAGTAATATCTGTACACACATACATATAAATAAATGTATATATAAACCCAAAAATTACAGAGAAAGAATCAACCATTTGCAAACTTCAAAACCAGAGCTGATCTTTTCTATTAGATACACACTGTATTTAAGCACTTTTTCCTGGAGAAATCAAATTATTTCTGTAAATGTAGGAATCCCATTAAGGAACCAAAAAAAAGGAGCAGAACCTGGTCAAAACTTGTGTTTTATAACACACTTGGCACCTCAACCAGTTAAGAAATAAACTCTGGTTCTGATGTCAGAAGAAAGCAGCTCTAAAACAGCCAGCCAAAGATTTTCCATCCATTCTCACTCTGATGAATTGTTTGTTTATATTCCAGTTAATAAAAGAACATTCTGGCTTAATAAAAGAACATCCATTATAGGAGCAGATGTAAAATTCTAATTTCTCAGCCCATACTTGCCTTACCTGATAAAGCACATCTTGTGGTATGGATATCTTATTCCAAGGTCTCTCACTGAATTAATGAGTGTAGGGTCTGCAAACTCACTCCTCTGTAAATTGTGAGTAATTTTTCCCAGAAGTTAATAACTAAATAATAACCTGCCTGGTCACAGCAGCTAATGAATCCAAGGTCGAGCCAGGAACTGGGAGCACGGCTTCAGTGTTTGTTCTGGCTCCAGACCCAGGGTGCCATTCAGCAAATTGAATTTTTAAAATTACAGCATCTCTTTTCATAAGGCATGAACCTACAGCCTGCACTGGGCACCAACCCCTGCATTCCCAGCTCTTCCCTCTCTCCACCACGGCTTAACACGGAGTGGATGCTTTTCCAAAGAAAACTGGGACTGACCTAATTCATCTCGCAGCCCAGCCTGGGACTGAGAAATTTCACCAAATTTTCCAAGAACACCACTGACCTCTCCATCCTGGAAGTGCTTCTTGAGCTGTTTGAGCATGACAGTGAGCTTCTTGGACTGCACCCCGCTGTATGCCAGCAGCATGCTCCCGAACTGCCGCTCCGTGATCCGCCCATCCACCGGGTCGTGCCGCTCGAACTGCAAGGGAAAGGCAAACAGGGAGATGAAAATGAGGAGCAGCAGAAAGCTCCACCTGAGGTATGAAACATAAAAAAGGCACCATAAAAGTTAATATTGCAGGAAACACTGGTGAAGAAGTTCTGATGTGTTTCAGTGTCTGCTTTCCCCAGGATTGTCTCTCCACATTCTCCCCATGTGTGATTCCATGGACAGCTCCTGGGAGAAGCCCTTGTATCTCCCAATTTTATCCCACAGGACTGGGCTAAGGAGTGGTTCCATGGTTGCTCTAAACAGGGACAGTGGTTAATACACCAATGAAGTGTTGCAAAGGTCTTCTCATTTTACTCTTCCCTGCTCCAAGGCCTCTACGAGTGTCCCAGGAAGGGAAGGTTCAGGGATGTCTCCAGACTTCACCTTCTCCAAGTTCTCCTCATCCTCAGACCCTTACAGTCCCTGACTCTTACAAATGCTGTGTGAAGCCCCTGCAGAACTTCCAAAAAGCCCTTGGGCGGAGGAAGTTTTTCTCCACTAATCCATCTCTCCTGCAGTAGTTTGTCTCCTGGCTTCCACTGCAGGCAAGGAGGGAAGAGCCATTCCCCAGCTTGGGGAGCTGCTGGGTGGGAGCACCAGGTCTTTGCCCACTGAATAATGGGGATTTCATCCTTTCCTCTTCCTCCACCTCTGTGAATCTACAAGCATCAACATTAGACTTCACCCAGCTTTGCAGACCTCAGCACTCAGGATCCCTTATTTGGGATATATCCCTTCAAATTTACCAGGAAACACAAGACCATCACTCCAGCTGATCACAAGTCAGAAGATGACATTTAACAACAAAATTAATTTTTAAACTCATGGGGAACAACTTGGTACCAATGATTGACATTCTGCTGCCTGCTGAGTTGACCATTCCTGCCTCAGCCACTCTTCAGTGCTAATGAATTTTTAATTATTACCATATCAACCAGATTTTAGCTGCTTTTCACAGTGGGAAACCAAGGGATTCCTGATAAGTGAAGCAGCAAGGCTGGAGGGATTTGTATGGGTGACTCTGGCAGGAGGCAGATCCCAAATGGAGAAATTCTGCTCTTCAGCCCCCCTGTGCTTTCACCTTAGTGGCCCACACATTTTTGGGGGAAAAATGGTAATTTTTACTGTCATCTGATACAGGCTTTGGAGATCACTCATGATGCAAAATGTGGGCCTCTCCCATTCTCCTATGCTGGGGGAAAAGAGAGAGAAAACTCATCTTTTGGGAATGTTCCTCATTAAAAAGCAAAAGTAGTCATTTCTGCCATGCCTGAAGAATGTCAAGAAAGTGCCCCTGGGACACAAAAATTTGCCGTCAGTGCTGCTTCAGAAGCAGCCCTGATGCTTTTTTCTGCTGTAATATTCCTAATTTCATCCCCAGAGACATCAACCAGCACTTTTCTACCAACAGCCTTAAAGTACCCCAAGTTTTAGCAAAGCTTTAGGTACCATCTTTAATTAAAGGCCAGGAAATGGGTCCAAATATCTCAGATCAACCTCCTAAGTGGTGACTACGCTTAGAAAATCTCAAGTTGGTGTCTAAAATCTTATCAGCCCCCTCTCCCCTTGCCCTGCATTAAGGATCAAGCATTGGGAAGCTCCATGGGGTAGCACATGCAAACACAGCTCCCTGCAGATGGGGGAATAAAGAACCAGCTCCTTGCAGGTGTTTTTGGAACGAAACCTTCAGATTGTGGTCAGTTTTGTGCTACCAGATGAAAAAAAAAAAAAAAATCCCAAAAAAAACCAGATAGGAAAAATTAAAATACTTTTCATCTTCATTTTTATACTGATACACCACACAACTATTTGCAAGAAATAAAAAAAAAAAAAAAAAAAGCCTGGAAACTATGGAATTTATGCTGCTTATTATTTATCTCACTTTAAAATGAACATCTCTAACATTAAACCAGAACACTCAGATATTTGCTGTCATGTACAGTTGTGCTCATTGCAAAGGTCAGCCCAGAAAGGGGCTGGGAAGTGAGAGCTGGTCCACATCCAGTTCCCAAACTTCAATATAACCACCACTGAACTGAGAAAAAGCAACATCATCACAGTGAGGGCTAAAGAAAGTTCAAATCTTACCTCCAAGCTACTGTCAGATGCATTTAAATTAATTACAGAAGGGATAAGCAGGGCATGTCATTTAAAGAGAAATTTCAGGGGGGGAAATTCTGCTTATTTTTTTCTGGTATGTCAGAGATTCTGTTTAACCATAAAGAAACTTGGCTTCAAAGGATTTATGAGTGCAAACCCATTGATTCTTGATGAAAGAAAACCCCCAGCTACTCCTGACACCCCCTTTCCCACCCCCCTGGCCAGGAGCACAGGTACATCCATGCTCCTCTACCCTCTGGAATGTCTTCCAGCCAAACACAAGTCACCACTTGGAAATGAAGGAAGGTGCAAAGCCTATAGGAATTTTTCTTTCAATACACAGCCTACAAACAGTGTTAAGTGTTAAAATCCTCTGGGTACTTGAAGAAAGCAGGAAAAATAGTGCCCATTCCCAGGATAATCAGGATTATTTGCCTCCATGCACAGGATGATATTGTACAGGTTATTTTTTTATTCATTGGGGAGGGGCAAGAACCCCAAACCCTACAAGGAGGGGATGCAGGGCACAGCACACTGGGATTTATTACAGGCAAACAAGTCCTCTGACAGCCTTTTTCCCTTTCATGGATTTTCAAGAAGGAAAAGCAGGGCCAAAGCAGTCGCTCACCTGGCATTATCCAGAGGGGATCCTATCCCATCCCAAACTGCAGCCCCAAAATCCAGCAAGTCCAACACCTCCAGAGCAGTTTCCACTCGCAGCCACTTGGTGCCAGCAGTGGATTCTGCATCTGCACGAGGCAAGGAAAATGGGACAGAATGCTGGCCAGTGTTCCTCCTGCAGGCCAGGACACCTGAGGTGCTGAAGAAATTAGCTTGAGATAGAAAAAAGGCTGTGTTTTGAAATTCATTAAAAGCCAACGTGACGTGAAAGGAAATCCAAGGTGTTTATGGAACAGTTCAGCAGGAACTGTTCAGGACAAGAGGGAACAGCTTTAAACTAAAAGAAGGGAGTTTTAGATTGGATATTACAAAGAAATTGTTCCCTGGGAGGGTGGGCAGACCCTGGCACAGGGTGCCCAGAGCAGCTGTGGCTGCCCCTGGATCCCTGGAAGTGTCCAGGGCCAGGCTGGACAGGGCTTGGAGCAGCCTGGGATGGTGGAAATTGTGGTGGAATGAGATGGGCTTTAAGATCCCTTCCAACCCAGGCCATTCTGGAATCCTATGGGAGGGGAAGAAGGTAGGAGAAATGGGGGGCAGCCCTTCACTTCACCAGCTTTGCTAGCCCAGTCCCAGTTGTCAGTCCAAATACACAGCAGGGTACTCCCTGTTTTTTGTTATTTAAAAGATTACCCAAAACCTTAAACATGTGTTAAATAGTCCCAAACTCCCCCTCAAACCTGACAGGATGAGCATATTCCATGCTCCTCTGTGAGATGAAATGCCCAGTTTTGTTCAAATAACCCCACTCTCCTTCCTTCTGAGAGAAAAGCTTTCTCACAGGAGGAGAACAGAGGACAAATAAGCAATTTTCCCTGCTTCTACATCTCCTAAATTGCACAAGTTTATGGAAAGGCAATACAAGGATCCATCATAAAAGAGGACAGCCATAATATCTTTTCTTCCTTGCTTCAGTTTTTTTTCCCTCCACTAACTCAATCCATCTTCCTCTGCAGGAAATCAAATCCCAGGCTCTGAGGAACATCCAGCCCAAACCAATTCAGAGATACCACCACGAGAAACATCCTGGTGGAAAAAAAAAACCCCAAAAAACCTGCTGGAAGTTCCTAAATGTAGACATTGGTTTCCTTTCATCTCTCCTTCTGCCAGCAAAGCTCAGCAGTGGGAGGGAAATGAAGCAGCTCCAGTGGCCTCAGAAAAAGGCCAAGTTTGGGTACCACACACTTCTCAGGAAAAGGTTTCTCTTCCCAGCTGATTCTCTCCTTCCTCCTCAATAAATCTGTCATAATCAATAGTATTAACAGGAGAAGATTCTACCTAAAACTCCAGCGCTAAAATCCTCTCCAGCCAGAGAATGGGAATTTAAAAAACTGCTTAAAAAATGAGGAGCAGTATTCTGTGATTGCTGTCACCAGACCCAGCTGGGCCCAAGAGAGCAACCCCAGCTCTGCAACTGGGGAGGGGACACCAAAACCCTCAGAGAGGGCTCAGCATCACCAGACAACCATGAGTGGATGTCAAAACCTCCCATGGAAAAGTGGGATAAATTATGCCTGCAGATTATACCCCTCCTTCCTAAGCTGGCATTTTTGGGCTGGACACACACTGGTGGCTTGTGTCTCTTGCTTTGTTTGCTGAAGAGGAAAATGGCTAAAATAACCTCCAAGCACTTGGCACAGACAGCATTTAGGATCCACCAAATCCCATCGGTGCAGGAGAGAAACACCCAGTTGTAACAGGAGGATGAAAACACAGCTCAGATTTTTCCTAAAGCAATGCCAAAAGGATATACTTCCTATCCTCTTCAAACACTCATATTAGCTAAATATCCAGCTGTATTTTAGCAGGCTCTTAAATTTCTAGGAAGATTTCCCCTAAAAACAAATCCAACAGATGATGTATTCCCTACAATCTCAAAGCAAGGATCTTAAATAAATAAATGTATGTGTGCCACATTCCTAATTGAGATAGCAAAGAGAAATACATCTTCAAGGACTTTTGGATGGGGAGAGAAGTGTTGAGGAATGATTTTTGAGCTTCTTTCTTCAAGTTAAAATAAACATCCATGGAAGAAATATTGCTAATACTAATTCTATCAGGTTTAGGGGTAGTTTAAAAAGGTGACCTGTTTCCAGAGCTGCTCTGTGCATAATAAGGAATCAAAAGGGTCTGGGAAATAATGATTTGTAGGGTAATATTCAGATTCATAATATATGACCCTTTAAAGTAATATTTGCTCAAAGCTTTCT